CTAGGGGCTGAAGGAATTCCTGCTTCACAGATAGACTTCCACGCAGTTTCCCTGTGGTGATATCCAGACACGAACGGCCACGGCTGTGACGCTCGCACAACACGAAGGCACGCCAAGCCACGGAACTCAGGATTATTGCAATGGTGACTCTTACGTTGCGCACATTTCTCCGGAATACAGGTTCTTAAAAATAATGATCTCTAATTACCAGCCATGGAGATGATGAATCTTCCCTTTTCAAAGCGTCTACTCAGTCAACTGGAAATGAGGAACTGGCAGGAATCCCTGGAGACCTAAAGCCCTGTTTAACCCACAGAGAAGCTGCAACACAGGCACCAGAGCAGAGAGATGACTCAGAGCTATCCGGGGAAGTGACGTGTCTGCTGCTGTTAGGGCCTGTTACATAAAACACTCACTTTGGCTCTGCTCTTGTTTCTGCCCGTCACTTGTGGAGAAATCTCCTAAGAAATTTCTAGCCCTTGCTACTCACTTTTAGCAGAGAGCCAGAAATGGGCTAGGGAGGCAAAATAAGGCAGAGCTTTACTGGGGCTGTGAGCCCCTAATTTGTGCAAGATCTGAAATTTACAATTTTAAATTCATGGAGGGGTCTTCAACATCAGCCACAGCTTGAAAGCCCCTGGGGTAGCTGCTCTTCTGGGTAATGTCTCCCAGTGTTTGGTGTTGACTGTTTATTAGCCATTTAATATGCTTTAAAAATTGTGGGTTCCAACCTGAGAAAAATATCCAATTTATTACAGGAAAACAGCAGTCTAATTTTCTCTTTTATTGTTTTGTTTTTAAAGACCTCTCAATCTCTCTCTCACTCTCTCTCTCTCTCTCTGTCTCTCTGTCTCTCTGTCTCTCTGTGTGTGTGTGTGTGTCACATGAGGCCAGACAGCATGGGATCTCCTGGAGCCGGAGTTGGAGTTCTAGCAATTTCGCACCACACTGGGAAATGAGTCCAGGTCCTCTGGAAGAGCATGCTCTCTTAGTCGTTGCAGTCTCTCCAGGCCCATAGGTTTTTCTCAATGGAAGTTCCCCAGTGAGTCTCGCATATAGCTCAGGATATGAAAGCTTGACCTTTTTATTTATTTATGGTTGTGTGTGTATATGATGGCATGGGGCAAGGAAGTTGTCACCAAGCCCATGGTAAGGTCAGAGGACAAGTTCAGGAAGTTAGTTCTCTCGTTCCATCTTTACATGGGTTCCAGGTATCAAACTTGGGTAGTTAGGTTTCTGCAGCCAACACCTTCACTGGCCCAAGTGTCTGATCTTAATTAATAGTTGTGGAGATGTTAAGACAAATTTAAACTGTCCCATAACTTGAGGAGAGAAATGCACAGTTATGGAAAAGGAAGACTATGGGAGTAATTTTCCCGTGGCAAAAGTCTCCTGAAGTCTGAAAATTAAGTACTAGAAAGGGGATTAAAGTCATCTCCTCCTTCAGTCCGGCAGAATCAATGTGATCAGGAAACCTGCCAGGGACAAACACGCTGGGGCCCTCTGCAGACCTAGGATTAAGAAACCTGCCTGTCGCCTAGCAACCTGCATGTTAAGAAGCCTTCCCGCTGGGCTTGGCCATACAGGCCTGCTATCAGGCTGTTATCTCAGTTCTCAGGACTTTGAGGCAAGTTCTAGACCAGCATAGGTCTGAGTCAATGTTGGCTATGTAGTGAGCCTCTATCTGTCTGTCTGTTTGTCTGTCTCTCTGTCTTAATAAATAACAAACAAGGACAGAAAAATAAAACAATTTCAAGATGATACTTGAAAGGGACCCTCCTCTCTTCCTCCCGCCCTTGAATCCGTACAGGACACACCCAGACACCAAATTTTCAGCACTAAGATTTAGCGTAGGAAGGGGGCGTGGGGGAAGGGCTGCAAAGGTGGCAGCAGCAGTAGCAGCAAACACAAGCAAGCAAGAAAGACAAGAGAAGCAAGAGAGGGGTTTTCAGGGAATAAGCGGGGTGAGGGGGATCTGGGATCTGTGCTAGGGTGAGTTGGTAAATCCTAATTGGATATATTAGCTAAATAATGAATTTTGATTGTTGGACCTCAGTGTTTTGTCTCAGGAATGAGTCAGTGGTCAAATAAGGGAATGACCAATAAGAAATGTAACTTTTTTTAAGGCAGGGAGAGGAAAAAGGGGTGAAAGGGCAAAGGCTGTCTGACATGTTTGCTTTGCTCGGGCCTGTGTTTGCCATACTTGGGTCTGTTAGAGGCCTTCAGTACTGATCTAAACTGATGTTTGAGATTCATTATTCTAAAACAGCTAAGAGTTTTTAAAATACCCCATCACACCTCAAAGATTCTTATTCAAGCATAGTTTTAAACCTCCATGGCTGATTTTAATGAGAAACCAAGATGGGAGACCTCTAAACTAGTCTCACCTCTACACTAAAGAGATAAGCAGGGCAGTGAGCTGGCCCAGTGGGGTAGCCTGACCACCTGAGTGTGATACCTACCCAAGGTAAAGGGAGAGATGGTCACACATCCATGTATGGTAACCCCTGTGAGCATGTTCTCCCTCACTCCCCCCTCTCTTTCACACACAATAATAATGATGATGATAATGATGATAATAATAATAATAGAAAGGGGAGCTTCCCATGATTAGATCCATGTCCTAGCAAAGAACCCAGATCTCTTGACTCCATATTGAGTTCTCTTTCTACCAAGCACTTCTTATTGTTAACTCAAAGATGCTAAATCTGCTCTGGTAGAGATTTAACATAATTCTTGTCGAAGACTTCATTGTGTCTTTATTTTCAGTGTCCAGTTCCAGGAAGCTAATTCTGCTGTTTACGGTTTCAAGAGAGAGAGGAATGGAAGACAGGCTGTGTTTAAAACCGAGACAGAAAAAAGGAAGTTAAAATACCAGTAACTCCAAAATAAAAACTGAAGTCTCCCAAATGGTTCCCAACAGCTGCACAATGAAAGCAACACATCCTTACCAAAGGAATTGTGGGTAACCTTTTTACCCTTCATAGAAGACCTTCCCTTTGGCCTTAAAGCTCTTCAGAGATCACTAAAGTCTGCCTGAGAATTCACTTGGCCCTACCCTCTGTCTCTTAACCGTCTTTAAATTATCCCCAAAGGAAGACATTCGGAATCTTTAAAGCCTCATTTCCAATTAAAGGTAACTAAATCCTTGTCCAGTGCTATACTTCAGTGACAGATAGGACAGCAAATTGAGTTTCCTTGGTGACAAACTGAGCACCTTATTGGCCCTCACTGGTGACGGTTGAGCCTCCTTTTGTGAATGCTTCCTGTGCTGAAGACCAACACCCACAGTCTACTGCTGTCTGCATTATTTTAAAAAAAAAAAAACAAACAAGAAGCAAAAACTTAGTTCTAGTGGTTTCTTTTTGAAAAGCTTTTTAATGCCGATGCCAGGGAGCTGGGCATGGTGGTATGTGCCTACAGCCCACAATTCTAGCACTTAGGAATGGAAGGCAGGTCCATCAAGAGTTTGACGCCAGGCTTGGGATGGGGCAGGGATGAAGACAGAAAACTTTTCATCAAGTTTAGAAACAAGATTCACTGGAATCTTTGACTTACAAGACACCCTACCATTTTGAGTTTGTTGTTAAAGAATCAAAACCTGATGCTGGCGAATTCTGTGCGAAGCACTAGGGTAATGGAAAGTGTCTCGGGCTTGTATAGTCATAGTAGCCAGAGCCGTTCTAGGGAGCCCAGAGAAAACCTGGGGACCACTGGAACAATTCCAGACCACTCTTTCATCTTTGTCTTTAGTGCAGGTCAAGGTGCTGGGGACAGTCCACCTGACGGAAGACTCAGTAAGTGGGAGTGAGAGGCCAGGACACAGTCACCAAGACTGCACAGACCAAGAGGAAGGGACCACCCAAGGGATGAGGACACACTCACCAAAAGATGGAGGATACCGAGCAAGTGAACGCCTTCAGAAGTCACTAGCTACATGCTGTGAAAGGGCAGGTACCATTCCATACTTGTCCTTAGCCCTAAAGCCTGGCACAAAGTCTGCCTTGATAAAAGTTTGCTCATTAGAACAAAATAAACTCGTGTTTTCCACCATGAGTCCACCAAACCCTCCGGTAAATCTGTGTGTGACATTACAAAGCTCTTCACATGCACCTTCCCCCTCCCCCGCCAGGTCCCCAACTCAGCCCACTCAACCCAAAGCCACTGGTTAGGAGAGAGAAGGGGGATCTGAGGGATGGAGACTTGAGTGTCTAGAAAGAAGGGAAATAACTTCTTGGCTGGCTTATTCTGGTCCTCTCCTGCCTTCTTCCGGTGCCCACAACCTGTCAGCAGCAGCACAGGACCAGCGTGGTCTTCTCAGCCGTGTTCTTTCCCCGACCACGACTGCCCTGCACTCACGCTGAATCTTCTTAACTTGATGGTAGGACACGGTTATTCAGACACAACTGTTAATCAATGAAAGCAAACATGACCTCACACCAAACAACTTAATTCTATTGGGAACAAGTTTCTGCTTGTCATCATATGAGTACAATAAAAATATGATACAATAAAAATACACTTTCAGAACAAAGTTGAGCAACATGTCCTGTAAGTCTGAGCACTTCTGGGATTTATTACAGAAAACCATCATGTGTATGCGCAGAGACTTAAACATCTGTTCATTGTAGCATCACCATAGTAGAAACTCAGAAATACTTCAAGTCTAACAACGGGGAATCGAATACATCCAACAGCATCTGTTGGATCGAAATTGCAACAGAAGAATTAGCTACTTGTAAACACATCAGAATAGTTACAGCACATCAGAGGAAGGCACAGGTCACAGAGTAAAAGGAAAGACATCATTTTTGCAAAACAAATTCTTGCAGGTAGAATAAAAGAGCATGCAAAAAATAATAATAGCAGCAATTATTTCTGGGAAAGTGGATTATGGAGATTTTTTCCACTCTATTTACTTTTGTCTTCCCAAGTTTTTGACATTGGTAGATTTTTAAATTATAAACAACTTCAGAAAAAAGTTGGTTTTTGTGTGTGTGTGTGTGTGTGTATGTTTGACAGTTTGCCAGTGTGAGAAGGTGCCCTCAGATGCCACAAGAGGGCATCAGATACCCTGGGGCTGGAAACACAGGTGGTTGTGAGCCAAGCAATTGGGTCCTCTAGAAGAGCAAGGAGTGTTCTTAACCACTTTTCTCTTCAGACCCTAGACCTGGTTATTTCTAATACTCATATAGCTATGGGAATGTAGTTGACAGAGCTGTGATTTCAAAGTGTTGACTACTTTTCCTACAGACACCTCTTGCTATTTAGGTCTCAGCACCCCAAAATGCCACCTGCTTTTCTTCTGAGCTTCCTTTTCACTGAATGCTCCCCTGAGATTTCCTTCTCCAGCTGACTATAAGAGGAGGACGTGGCATTACTTTCTCTTAAGCAACTTCACTCTGAGTTCATCACCCCCTAGGCTCTTGCTCTCCCTCAGAGATACTCCCTTCTCTCCCTTAAAATAAGTGTGAACCTGTGACTCAGGTCCTCTCTATGACAGAGAGACCTCAGAAACCAGACCACTGACCACTGAGTCTGGAAACCTAACATCAGCTTCCCTGGGTCTGTCTCTAGCATGGGGATACTTTTTGTTGTTGTTTTTTTTTTTTTTTTATTCCCAGTCTCTTGAAATTACAGAGCAGATCCCCTGGATACTGACTTGTGAGAAGTATGCAAAGCTAACTCGAAGTCACGGTACTTGATCCGCGAGGACAAGCTGCAGAGTGACCGCCCATCCCAGTCTCAAGATCATGTTCCCAGTGAGATTAGTAAGGTCCTGACACTCTCCAAGTGTGCCAGGTGGATGGTGAATCACATCTCTGCCTTTGACACGAGGCTGGCATATGGAATGCACATTTACCTAAAGGGAAAACTAGAGAAAAACACTGTGTCCTCCGTGTTCTGGTCTAGATCCCTAAAATAAAGATGAGCTAACTGCACTTTGTGGGAAAAGACTTTTTTCCCACATGTCATCATTACATAGTACGTGGACTTCATTTGTAACATTTTTAGAGAGCTGTTATAAAGAACACCAGGCTATGATTAGTTTGCTGTATTTAGACGTATTCTAATTAGAAAACACAGTTCTTGGAAACTGGGGGGGGGGGTAATCTTGAGTCCGTCTATTCTCTAAGAACTGAGAGGCAGATTTGGAGACCGATTAACTCTGTATTTCATGTTTCACACAACTCATACCCTTACCAAAATTTATAAGTCACAATGCAAAAATAAAATACATATTTTGATAAAAATTATACCCATTATAGTTTGAGTGTGTGCCATGTCACATACGTGGAGGTCAGAGGACATCCTGAGGTATCCCTGGATGTCATCTTCCACCTTGTTTGGGACAAGGTTTTTGTTGTTCAGTCTCACTCATACCAGACTGGCTGGTCCAGGGGCTTCTGTGGGCTCCATCTCTCATCTATCCAGCACTAGGAGCACCAAAATTGAAGACGCACACTGCTGTGTCAGGCTCTATGTGGGGAAAAAACTCAGGTCCTCACAGTTGGATGGCCATCCCCCTTAGAGAGGGTATCATTTAGATGTGGGTTTAGTGATGCCTCCAGGGCAAACATGCCCCTGAACATCTAGAAAACTTTGCTATTGACAGCTCTTACAAGGGATCATTACACAGCCATGACAGGAAATCCATTTTGCTTTCTGATCTGAATGCAAATTCACTTGTTTTATTAACTAATTTGAAAAAGCTTAATACAGTTTACTCACCATCCTGGAATTTCAGATTCTGAAAGGCAGAAATGTCTGGAAGTCTAGAGTGCATGGCAGTTTCTGCCAGCTAGATGTAGGTCTCTGGAGCACATATCTCTTCCTAAATCTGAAGATGCTGATACCCAAGATGAAAGTGGATGGTCCTTTGTTGAGAGAGATGCAGATTGCATAGGAAACTGACAGCAGTCAGCAGAAGCAGTCACCTGGGAGAGATGATTTGTGACCCTAGGAACGGCTCGTGCTAAATTCCAAGGCAACCTTCCTACTGAGGACACCAGACACAGAATCTTTTTGATGCTGTCCCCTCGGGAATTTAAGGGACAGTGATAAAAACAGATCTGTGAGGTAATAAGCCATGAGAATCATGGTAAAAATATAAAATAATAAAAATGAGTTAATTTAAGTTGTAAAAGCTAGTTAATAACAAGCCTGAGCTAATAGGTCAAACAGTTTGTAATTACTATTAAGCCTCAGAGTGGTTATTCAGGAACTGGCAGACAGGAGAGAAACCCCCAGTTACATCATATTCCATAAGTGCATACAGTACAATGCCAGTCTAGCCTGGGAAAGTAACAGACATCAGGAAGAATCAACAGTTTATGCTAAATGGTTAAATGCTGAAAAACTAAGAGTAGAATGATACAGTCAGATGGAGCCTTGTAAACCACAGGTGGAAAGGACTGAGCAGGTTCAAAGAACTGGATGTCTGAAATTGGGGTAGCCATTCCCCCATGAGGAGATTGAAAGATGAGGTCAGAATGTGATTAGCAGGATCATGGGTAGCCCTGGAGTACAGGCTCCTTCTCAGCCACAGCAGAGTCTTCACAAGGGAGCAGCCTGGATACATGGCCTGGTGAGGATGGCCATTCCCACTCCACAGCAGACAGGCTGGACTAAGGACCAGCTGCGGCTGGGCCACTTCTAAGGCCAATGGTGGTGCAGGGCAGAAACGATTGGGCTGGTCCAAGAGCCAGTGAAGGAGGCAAAACCCAGGACTTAACAGTGAGTACGCGGCACCCCTCGATACCCAGTACACTGCTGGGTATGTGCAAATCTGAACTCGGAGGAAAGGTGGGGTAAGAACTGCAGGTGGTTCCTAGACAGCATCTGGAAGTCATGAGATTGGAAGAGCCCAGTAGGAATCATGGACACGAGAAATCTGTTTAAAGAGAAGATGAGAGCTGGTGAGATGGCTCTGCACTGGCTGCTCTTCCAGAGGAACAGGTTTCAATTCCCAGAACCTGCATGGCAGCTCACACCTGTCTGTAACTCCAGTTCCAGAGGATCCACACCTTCACACAGACATGAATGCAGACAAAACAGCAATGCACATAAAATTAAAAAAAAAAAAAAACACACTTCAAAAAAACAAGATGAGCTGGAAGCTGAGGGGAAAGGGAAATGGGAACTACTGTTTACTCAGTACAGGCAGTCAGCTGGCGACAATGAGGTCCTAGAAATGGATGATGGGAATGGTTGCACAGTAAAGGCACTTCATGCCACCGAACTAGTCACTGAAAAGTAGCCAAAGTTATACACTTTATCTTATCATAATAAAAAAGAATACTTGTGCTATTTGAATAGTTTAGCACAAGAATGAAAATCAAGATAAAGTGAGGGAGAATGGATCTCAAGGGGAAACACCTTACAGAGGGAGCTAATGAGGTTGGTAGGAAACTCAGGGTCACACCATCAAAGCTAAGGACAGCATTTCAGAGGGCAGTGTTCAAGCAAAGAGGATGCTACCGAGTCCCATCATCTGGTGAGGGCAGAAAAAAGAACCAGCTGCAGCGTGTCGGAAATATGGAGGTCAGGTGACCTTGGGGAAGGTTGTGGGCAGTAGAGCCTGGAAATGACAGAGAGGAGAACGGAATGGAGGGGAAAGCAGCCCAGAGTACATGCAGTGGCAAGTTTGACTCCTACGGAGATGGGATGGTGGCTTCTTCAGAGTGAGTGTGCTGAAGGCTGAGGAGATGGCTCAGTACATACTGTGTTTGCCACGCAAGAATGGGAAGGAACCCAATTTTACCTCTAGAACCCACAAAGTCAGGTGTGGTGGGGCACACTTGCAGTGGCAAGGAGCAGACACAGGAGGAATCCAGGGGTTCCCCAGCAAGCCGGCCTCTCTGAAGCAGTTAACTCCAGACTCAGTGAGAATCTGCCTCAAAGAACGAGGTGCATGGGGCTGGAGAGGCAGCTCAGTGGTTAAGAGTACTTGCTGCTCATCATCCCGGGGACCTGAGTTCAGTCCCCAGCACCCACACTAAGAGGTTCAGAGCTCCCTGTGACTGCAGCACCAGGACAGCCTGTGCTGTTGTCCTCCTACCACAAAACACACACTTAGAACATATACACATAAACAAAAATAAAATGAAGCTTAAAAACAGTATGGATAGCTCCTGAGAAACAATGCCACAATGCCTAAAGTTGGTCTTTGATGGCTACATGTACACACAAGCACAAACACACACACACACACACACACACAAGTGCACATACACACAAGGGTGCTGAAATATCAAATGTAATTAATCGAACAACCACTTCAGGGGTAATACAATTTTATATTAATCATCTCAAAAACCCTTTAATAGATAGATTAGAGTTTTATTTTCATATTTATGGTACTCGCGGATAATTGCAAATTACTCTCTTCATTTCGTGGGTGATAAAAATGAGCCATGGAAAATATCTTCAAGGAAAATCTTAAAAAGTCAAAGCTCATTAAGAAGATATTCTCACTGATTTTTACAATTAAAAAGTGCAACATACTGTTAAGAAAAGAATTCCTGTGACGGTTACATGTCCAGTAAATCCCAAGTTTTAAGGCTTAGTCACACATGTTGATTTTTGCACGTGTGGCATGTGTACATGTGGCAACATGTTCTGTATCCTGGCTACATTCTGAAGATGCCGAAGTCAGTCTTCTGAATGGGCGCATTGAGGGCTGCACTGATGCTAAGTCCCAGAACCAGCCTGGTGTCCACAGGATCGATAATCCCATCATCCCACACCCTGTGGAAAGAGGAGAATGGTCACTGTGACTCAGCCATCAAGCCGCCATCCCTCCTTGTCATGCTCAGAATCACTGAGAGGATCCACACACACACACACACACACACACACACACACAGCTCTTGACTAGCGCCTGCTTACTGGAGTCGCCAACCGGAAGTCAAGTTTGAGCACGGAACTAAGAAAGACAGTGCTCACAACCAGGGATGCCAGGTGGAGCTTCAGGCTTTTCTTTATAAGACTTTCTGTTCCTTTGCTACTCACAGAAATGTAGCAATCACATTGATCTGCTTTTGTCTTTAATGTGGAGAGTCCCATAAACACAACCCAGTGACCTTATAGCAAAAAGCACATTACCCAAAACTCTTAGCAACTCGAAAATCACTGCATAAGCCTCGCTATATTTTATTAATAAAGAAAGTAATTTAAAATGCCATTCTTCATTTTTGTGTTACAATAGAAAAAACATTTTTTAAAAACCCTTAAACTGCTTTAAAGAAAAACCTTTGAGTAGAGACTTTAGTTTGTTCTCACTGGCATTCTCAAATGTATAAAGAAAAATGAATGAGAAATAATACTTTTTTGACTTTTTTTTAGTTGTTTGTTAGAATTTTTTTTTTTTGAAAAGATAGGTCTCACTCTATAGGCCAGGTTTGCCTGGAACTTGCGGTGATCCTCCTGCCTCAGCCTTCTGTAGATGTGAGCTCCTGGCCAAATGAGGAATGTCGCCCTTTGGGGGTTATTAGTGAATGGCAGTTTCCCCTTCTCTACACAGATGTTTCTAGCATCTGGATGTCACAGCAATTATTAAACACAGGCAGTCAGGAACTGCATCTTTGCTCATAAAACAATCATCACAGGGACCCTGTGTATCAATGGCCAAGGGACAGAAGGCTGTTTTGGGGACTGTGAACAGGTAGGTGGACTGGTTATCCCTTGGGAGCCTGAGAGCAACAGAATCCTCCAAGCAATGAGGGAAGGGCTTGTGAATGACAGCCACTAAGGACTGTGCAAGGAAGAGGTTCAATCAAAGACCTGGGAAAGTTGGAGTGCAACACTTGAGTGATGTCATGGAGCACCAGGGCTGGAGCTGAGCAATGTAGCCCCCCAGGAAAACAGGCAATGAAACAGAGGCTCTAATAATAGAAGATAATCCAGACAGCTGGCTTCTACCATGTTCAAGTCTAAGGAAGCCAGGGAACAACTGTTAATCTGGGCTTGACCAAACATGAGAACATTCCAAGCCAGCTTGGAAATCACCTTTAGGAGAAGGTTGCTGCCTCCAGGCCAACAGCTGTTTCAACAGCACGACTAAGCACCTGTAAATTAATAGACAAACCCTCCCGACTTTCTAAATTTATTCCCAAAGATATATCTATTCAGCCATGCTCACTGATGCCTGGAATGTATCCTATTAACAAATACTAACGTTAGCATGACAATAATAAAGGGTGCAATCTTTCCCAAAAGATGACTCATTTTAGGCATCAAAAACCAAGTTCATGGCTCATATAAAAGTCTCTGTCTTTCAAGTTCAACCGGCCCTGAGCATTTCAGCCAAACCTTCCTGGAAGCACTGCCAGTGAGCGTATCTATGTGCTTTGTATTTATTTCAGATCTCTCACATGGCTCCCTGCAGCTCCTCTGCCTCTATTGGCTGCTACCACGGAATGTCTGTTTGCACTATGACAAAGTGAGGTGCATCTTTGTTGCTCAAACCAAAGATTAAAAGTACTTTGTTGCTAATTAAATGAACCAATGACTTTCACAATATTTGTCTGTGGGGTGAAAACACATATATACAAATAGCATGAAGTCAAATAGGCTTTTTGAAAACTCACAAATGTTGGGATTAATGAGTCCTGGCCTTCAGCTGCTCTTCCCTCCTAGAACCTTCTAATTAAAGTTACTAGAAGCTGTTCCTAGCTTAGAGGCTCAAAGGATGGGATTTTCACCTGTTGGCCATTGACTGCAGTGTATTTAAGCCTACATGGTGCTAATAAAGAGGGGCTTTGCTATCAGTGTGTAAAGGTCTGCGTGTTGGTCTGTCTCTGCGTCTGTGTTCTCAACCTCCAGCCCCTTGCCCAAAGCTCGCAAACTGGGGTCTAGCGCACAGAGCGCAGACCAGGGCCGCTGTACGCGGCACACAAATACGCTCAGGGCGTAGCTCAGATGGTAGAGTGCTGATCCACCATGCTAGAGGCCCTGGGTTTGACCCCAGTCCCAGCACTGCAGAAACTGTGCTGGGGACACCTGAGAGACACCTGTCATCCCAGAGGTGGAAACAGGGAGGGGGCTCAGGAGCTCAAGATCATCCTGACACTTAGCCAGTTCTTACTCAGCCAGTTTGGGCGGTAATGAAATCTGTTGCCAAACAACAACAAATCTCAGATGTTATTATTTGAACTCAAACTGATTAACAATACACTTTAGTCTTTGTACTCTACTGCCAAGAGCAATGCTGACCATGGGGATGAATTCCAATGACTGAAATGGATTCTAAGCTTCCCATTTTCTTCCCCGCTTCTCTCCAGTCTGCCCTAGCCAGTAAAGGGCATGATTCAAGACATAACCTAATTTTAGAAGACACTGGTATTTATTCTTTTCTCCTTCTGCCCAAGGGAAGAGAGAAGGCATGGCTTAGATTAGTCTTCATAACGCTGAACATTACAGTCATTGGAAAAACCATCTGAAAGCCCATCCCAGCAGTCCCCAGCTGGGACAGACAGCGAGAATTTATTACCTCATTATGATTATGCCGCGCAGAAAACAAACAGGCAACAGCCGCCGCAATGGTGTCTGAGGTAATTACTTGGCACTGACATGTGGACCCCGGCTGTGACTAATCACCTTCTGAGCATGCAAGCACACTTGTTAGCCAGTGCCAATCGGTGATCAGTCGGTATCCTGCTTGCCAAAACACCAGGAGGGCCACATGGAAATCCATGTGCTCAAGCAGAGGTTAGGAGCAGCTCCGGAATATGTAAGGATTAGAACCCTTATTCTCGGCTCCTTACAAGGTCCACCTCTGGCTACAAAGCCATACCACTCTGTGGATACCCTAACTGGGGTGGGCTGTGTGGGAAACGGAGGTGGGGCTACAGAGCAAGGAAGCCTGGGAGGGGGGCGGCAGTTTAGCATGAATGAATGATAGTGTAAGAGTAACCCGTTTGTCCAGGCAATAGTTTTGTTATTTAAACAAGGTCTTTTTATACAGCACAAGCAGACTTCAAACTTCAATTCTCCTGCCAGAGATGCCCAAATGGCAGGATGTCTGGTTTGCACCACCACGCCTAGCCAGACACTATATTAATGCCCTTTGAAGGTCAACCATCCCAAGAGCTCAGGTCTCTGTGAAGCTGCTGCCCCGGATGCCAGGAGCCCCCTCAGGGGCAGAGAGAAGGCCTGCACTCACCTCGCACTGGAGTAGTAAGGGTTTCCTTCCTCTTCAAACCTTTTAATGATAGGTTCTTTCAAAGCTGCCTCCTCAGCACTGGAGAACTGAAAGAAAAGAGACAGGAAGTCAGCGTCCCTGGGACTGACTCCTCTGGATAAAGATGTTAGGGTGCAAGTAACGTTTGCACAGAGACAGACTGCAAATGATGCTTTAACATATATGATCTTGCCTGGGACAGGTTTAGCCGTCATCAGACACCACACTGAGGCCATACAACACAAAGCTAAAACCAAGATGTCACACGTCACTGTGTTCCTCCAGGGTACAATAGTTGATATAAGTCATATCATATAATTAAAATGCTTTAACAATCTCAAGCTAAAAAGAAGGGCCAGTGTGGTGGCGCACACTTTTAAGTCTAGCACACTTGGGAGGCAGAGGCAGGTGGATCTCTCTGATCTCCAGAGCAAGTTCCAGAACAGCCAGGGCAACACAGAGAAACCAACAAGATCGAGAAGACCAGGCATAGTGGAGCACACCTTTAATCCTAGATCTTTAATTATAGGAGAATACATTTTTTTTTTCGAGACAGGGTTTCTCTGTGATTTTGGAGCCTGTCCTGGAACTAGCTCTTGTAGACCAGGCTGGCCTCGAACTCACAGAGATCCGCCTGCCTCTGCCTCCCGAGTGCTGGGATTAAAGGCATGCGCCACCGTCGCCCGGTGAGAATACATTTTTTCAACTTTGAAATATTCTTGGGTTAGGGATGTACACCACTTGCCTAGCATTTGGCTTCAACTCCTGGCATCAAAATAAATAAGCAAATAAACAGCTATACTTAAAAAACTTACTTCACGCAAGCCTCACCCCTTCTCACACACACTTAAGTGTAGAGGTGAATAGCCACTGGAGGGAGACCCTCTGGCACTGCATTTGCATATATGAAAAGGAATGATTTAAATATCTATACATCAAATGAACCGAAGACTGGTTACTTAGCAAGGGACTGTTTTGTTTGCTCAAGTTCAAACATTCCTTCAAAACACCAGACAGACTTACTCCACCACCTACAGTAGCAACAGCACCCAGTTTGGCCTCCTCCACCCAGGCACACACACAAAGCAAAGCTACCACTTAGCTTTAGCTGGCACTAAAGTGAATTTAAGACACCAACTTAAGTCTACAGAGTTCCTGCTGCCAGGTCGAGACCAAGAGGCAGGCTGGGGAGAGAGGTTAGTAGGTAAAAGCCCTTGCCGCAAAAACCACGAGGACCTGAATTCAATCCTTAGAACCCATGTAACAGCTGGACAGGCAGCACAAACTGCAATCCCAGCACTTCTGTGGGGAGATGAGGGGAGACAGGAGACTCCCTGAGAGCTCACAAAGAGCTAGCCTCGCGTACCCAGCAGAAAAACAACAAAAGAGACCGTGTCTAAACAAGGTGAAAGGTGAGGACAATACCAGAGGTTATCCTGACCTCCCATGCACTGACATTCTCATACATGGATGTGTGCATTCACACACACACACACACAGACAAGGAGGGGTGAGAGACACGAGTGGCTTTGCACCATCCCAGTTCTGCAGATCCCATCACTGATCACATGATCCCTGCTGGCAGGGCAAAGCCCATGTCACACACCAAGTAGGTGTCCCATTCCTTTCCTCTGATGAGACAATAGCGCACATAAGCCATAGCAAGAACACATAGCCATAGGGCCAAAAAGGAGTAAATGGATTTCCTGAGATCTCGCCAGTTACAGAAGAGTAAGAAGCCAGTGTGTCTGTGTCTAGTACTCAGGAATTTCTGGGGCTGCAGGTACAGGTTGGTGGTGCCATGCTTGCCCGGCATGCTTAGCACCAGAGAGTGGAGCCTCAACACCCTCCCCGGGGGCGCACAGGTAGCCTGGGTGCTCTGCCAGTGACAGCCAGACCCACACGAGGAAGGGGTCACCCACCTGCTTTCCCTCCCGTGCCTTCTGGTCTTTTGCCACGGTGGCTAGCACGGTGGCTGCCTGCTCTCCGCCCATCACCGAGATACGTGCATTTGGCCACATGTAGAGAAATCTTGGGCTGGGGAGAAAGAAAGGAATCATCACGCTTGTCCATGCTTGTCCAGTGCAGTCAGGCATGGTGGCAAAGGCCTGTAAGCCAAGCCCACTCCAGATTAAAGGCTGAGTGTGCCGAGTGTCATTTCAGACTCCAGGTCTGGAATAAACTGATTGTTTACTTTTGTTTTGTTTGCATACAGGGTCTTCTGTAGCCCAAGCAGGTGTCAAATTTGCTATATAGCGAGGCTGGCCTTGAACTCTCGATCCCCCCTACCTCCACCCGCTAAGAGCTAGGATGACAGGCATGTACCACCACTGCCTGGCTTTAACATGACCATCTGCAATTCTTTCAAAGAACGCTGTGGCGCCCACCCACCTGTATGCTCTGCCACACATGCCGTAGTTTCCGGCCCCATAGGATCCCCCAATAATGACAGTGATCTTAGGCACTTTGGCACAGGCTACAGCAGCCACCATCTTGGCACCATCTTTAGCAATCCCTTCAGCTTCATAGTCTCTACCAACCATGAATCCTAGGAGAGAAAACAAAAACACAGCTTTGAGCAACGGATGCGCACGCAGGAATCAATTCCTGATCAAGTCCTGGCTTAAACCAACTATACTATGACGCTTCTGACACTAACAAAATAGTCACGTGAGAAGTCCATACCCCAACGTGTGCTTGAAAGGGTGGAAATGAAAATTCCTCCCCTCAGATGTCCTTAAGACACTTTGTTTCAATACACACAGATCTTCAAGCAGCAGACAGAAGCAATCCGTCATCAGGAAAACATCTCAAAGCTGAGGCTTGATGGGAGAGACTGTGACAAGGCCACAGGAAAGGTCCCGCCCGGCCGGCCAGCCTGGAAGGTTTCCATATCCACTGACCTGGTTTAAAATAAAGACTGCTCCTTTGGCAGTACTGCTTAAAACTTTGATGAAATGAAGATTAATGTTTCATGGGGAGGCCGAGTCCCTGCCAGGGGCTCAACAGCAAAATTTAAAAAACGGTTTTCCTTGGTAATTACAGAATTCCTCTGTTTCCTCAAGCCCCAGCTCAGGGGAAAGCACTCTGCAGCTGTAGCATGCATCCCACGACAGGGGCCATCCTTCTCTCTGAGAACCGCGAAGTCAGGTTTCAGTGTCTTTCTTCCTCCCAGCCCGAGGCTCTTGGGGAGGCAGTTCTTTCCCCTACATATGTAGACTTCCTTGTCTGACTGACTGTGTCATTGGTGGGCGCATCCCCAGCATCGTGTCATCAAATTCAGTCCGGCATCCCGAGGGAGGGACCACAGCGGGATGCGACACTGGGGGGACCACAGCGGGATGCGACACTGGGGGGACCACAGCGGGATGCGCCGGGACACTGGGGGGACCACGGCGGGATGCGCCGGGACACTGGGGGGACCACAGCGGGCCCATTGCCTTTGCTGAGGTCTGTCACTCCAGCCGCTCTTTGGAACAGCTCAGAACTGCTTTATTAGATGCATCCTGACTCTCTAGAACATTCTATCACAGCTGCCCCCAAGAATTAGCTCTCGTCAAGCCCTCGCCTTACCAACTCTGCAGACAATCTGCCTCCAAAAGAAGAGAAAAAGCCACTTCATCTGGTTTTCTCAAATCTTCCTACCATGTAAACATGCACACACCGGCATGCACGCACTCACACATGCACATACACACACACACACACAAACCAAACAAACACACAAACACAAAAAACCCTGTTCAATCATGCTTTCGATCTCCTGATGTTCTTAACTCTGTAGAAAACAAAAACAAACAAAACAAAATGGTAGACTTCTTCCCTGAGAGCCCTTCCCACTCTTGGGAGTTCTTAGTTTCCCTTTAAAAAAAAAAATCTGTTTGCATAACAAAAAAGTAGGGGGACAGGGACAGAAACACCAAAGCTGCTTGAAGACTTCCCTGAGCCTTCTCTTCTTCTCTATTCAGTCTGACCAAACTTACACTTCCATCCCTAGCTAAGATGCCTCTCTCGAGCCCCAGATTCATTCAGGGGCACAGCATCCATCCATACACACGCCAGCATCTCACAGGTCCCTTAAATGCAATGCCACAAAACAAAACTCAGCTTTTGCTCCAAAAACAGCACAAGCAAAGCAAAGCGAAAATGGGAAAATTGTCTAAGCAAATGTTTAACTTCCTGGTGATGAATCACCGTTGGAAATGAGGTCCCTAAAAGCAGTGAACTTCAGAGATGTTTCTGTCTGTTCTTAGCAGGTCACCATGCACGGAACTCTGAGGCCATCATCTGAAACTAATTCCTGTTGAAGTTCATCAAGGGCTGGGGGTGAGGTCAGGACAGGGCACTTATCTATCATGCTTAAGGACCTGGGTTTTACCCCCAACCCTGGAAAACAAAACAACACACACACACACACCATCTAACCTACCTTGAGCACAACACAGAATGAATTTTGCACTATTGCAATAAAAGGACCTGCTCAAAGCTGAGCGGCCTGGATGGTATGCATGGTGACAACTAATTAAAAGGCTTTTTGTTGCTGGGTTGGTGGTGCGTGTCTTTTATCCTAGAACCCAGAAGGCAGAGGAGCCAGGGGAATCTGTGTGAGTTCGAGGCTAATCTGGTCTAGTTACTCTGTTCAAGGCCAGCCTAGGCTACACAGTAAAACACAGTCTAAAAAAATAAAGTCTCTTTGTCCCAAAGAAAGACAGTTCCTTAGTAGCCAGTGTATCTGAGATGCATGTCTACATTAACACCATGCAACACGCAAAATGGCAGAGCACAGAAGCTCTAAACGCTACATCAAGAGGCCCCTGAAATCAACCCACTCCAGCTTACAACCATCTACGGGACGGAACGTTCAGAGGCATAGAGGAGCTCACTCTGGACACAGGTCACGCCACTCTTTAAAAAAATGCAAACCCTCAGGCTTTAATGCAAACAAACATTTTCAAAAGACATCTCTTCAAGACTGGGGAGATGGTTCAGCCAATAAAGGGCTTTCCATGAAACCCAAGGATGGAGTTTCATCCCTGGCACTCTCATAGAATGCCCAGTGGCATGGAGTACTCCCAGTGCTGGGAAGACAGGAAAGGAGGATCCAAAGAGATCACCGGTCAGCCAGTCTAGAGACCCTATCTCAAAACACAAGGTGGACAACTCCTAAGGGACAATAATTGAAGCTGACCACTGCCTTCTAATGTGTTCGTGCACACCCCTGATGGAGGAAGGTAATTGGTTAATTATAATAAACCAACTGTTTGGCCTCATAGCTTAGAACATAGGTGGGTGGAATAAACAGAATAGGATGCTGGGCGGAGGAGGAAGTGAAGTCAGACTCTGCTCTGCTCCCGGAGAGACTCGACAGCTCTGCTCTGGAGCAGAGACGCCATGCTCCGCTCTCCCGATAGCTCTGCTCTCTGAGGCACACGCGATGAAGCTCCAACCCAACATGGACATAGGTTAGAATCTTCCCGGTAAGCACACCTTGGGGTGCTTACACACATTATTAGAAATGGGTTAGAACAATATGTAAGAGCTAGCCAATAAGAAGCTAGAGTTCATGGGCCAAGCAGTTCTTAAATGAATACAGTTTGTGTGTTGTTATTTCGGGCATAAGCTAGCCAAGCGGCCGGGGTGTTGGGGACACAGCCCCGCTGCTCTTATTTCAACACCCCACCCCCCAAAGAATAGATAATTGATTGATGTTATTTCAGACAGAATTAACTGTATGGCAAAAGGTAAAGAGATGCCCATGGCATGTGCTTGGAATCACTAGGATACTGAGACTGTGTCAGATAGGACAGGGCACACCACGCTGCTCCCTGGTTGAGAGGTGGACAGGAGTCAAGAGAAGTCATTTGAAAGTTTGCGATACACAAGATTTGGAAACTGCTTCACTCAGAACTCATACGATGATCCCAGACGACTCCGTATTCGTGAATCCTCTCTACATTAACACATGAGCCACAGAGGACAGGGCAGTTCTGGACATATGAGCAAAAGAACTTCTCCTCACCGGTGATGTTCTGCAGGAACAGCAGGGGGATATTTCTCTGGCAGCACAGCTGGACAAAGTGAGCGCCCTGTAAACACAGCATAAAACACTTTTTCTTTAGAACTACTGAACTCCTACCAGGTATTCTACCGCGCCAGCCAGAGAAACTACACACTTGCGTGCACATGTGTGTACGTGTGTGTTCTTTAAGCTGGCATTTCAGGAATATTTGGTATCTTTTAAAACACCAAAAAGACCTCTTAAAGGTCCTTTGTAATGTGATTATGGGTAATTTTTTTGAGGCAGGGTCTCTCCACACAGCTCAGGCTGGCCTTGAACTGCCTACTCCCTTCCCTCGCCTCCCACATGTAGGACTACAGGAGTAAACTACATGCTTGGCTAATTTCTACTTTCTTTTGAGCTTGTTTTCATTTTATAATTGAGTTGAGGAAACTATATAGATAGCAGAATATAAAAATTAGCTTTATTGCTAAAGCATTTCTTTAAAGACAGATTCATCCCCGATTAACCTAAGAACTTGCAAACCTGTTCGTCTACCAGTAAGGGGAACTGCTTTGTTTACTGAAAAGAGAAGACAAACCTTTCTTGTTGCTGTTACAATGTTCAGTGCATGAGTTATATTTCCACAAGCTTAGGCGAATCTGAGACAATAAACTTAAACCAAACCCTAAACTCTTTCTTGTTGCTGTTACAATGTTCAGTGCATGAGTTATATTTCCACAAGCTTAGGCAAATCTGACACAATAAACTTAAACCAAACCCTAAACTCAGAGCACTAGGGAGTCCCCCATTCAATGCCACAACTGCAGTGACAATGACCAACTACCTGCACATTCCCTGAAAGAAAAAATAAAGTTAAAGGATGGCCCAAGAGGTCACATCTCAGAGCCACCTACACAGGATATCAGTACCTCTCCAGCATGGAGGGCCTGCCTTCTTCTTGTACTTCCCTGCAAGCAATTATAATCCTAACCCCTCCTGGTGTTGCTGCGCCAGGCTCCTCACACCACGATGACGTAAGCTGCCATAGAAACCGTGTCCAGCGCTAGCACTCGTGAACAAGCACACACAGGTATTCTGCTTGCTAAGAAATCCGGGTAACTCGATGAAGCTCTCATAAAGGACATTTTCATTTATTACGTGACCCTCAAAATTAACTAAGTTAAAGCATAACATCTTCCTGCATTTAACAGCACTTGCCTTTTTTGCAGATTCTGAAAACAAAACTCCATTGTTTCCAATGATGCCGACGGGGTATCCAAATATTCGTGCAAATCCTCAAGAGAAAACACATACAAAAAAGTTATGCTTTTCAGGGTTTTTTTGTTTGTTTGTTTTTTTGCAACAGATGCATACGACACACTCTTTAATTTGAGATCAACGAGGGAAAGTGAATAGGGGTCGCCTGTGGTATAATACAACGCATGTCACAGTTCTTTATTCCAAAGCTTTCTTGTTTCATTTATGCTTCTTGAAAATCCTTGCTCTAGGTAGGGTTATCTATGTTTACTTGGTCTGATTAAATGACTCTTTCAAAATATGCATGTAACACACATGTGAGTGCCCCCAATGTTCAGGGTGTCCTGAAATATTCCTTTTAAAATATTTATTTAAATTTAAATTAAATAAAATTAAATATTTTAATGTTTATTTAAAGTTTGATTCTTTAAAAAGAATATTTTGATCTTTTCTTCTTTGTCCCTGGGTCCCATTTTTCTATCACTGACAACACTTCCATTAGGATACCAACCACCGCCCCCCCCATACACACACACACATACACCATATGCATGCACATACGGGGAAGGGGAAAAACAGAGCCTGTCATTTTGTGAGGCAGGTGCTTAAGATGATTTCAGAAAAAAACTAATCATTTTGCAAACCAGACAAACTTGATTAGAGACAAATTCTTTCCCCTTTCCATCAAGTCTGGGTCCAGCTGGAAACAGGTGTCAGGTGCTCAGAGCCCAGGAACTTACTGGCTATACCTGGACGGTGAGTCAAAGGCACCTTCTGCCAAAGCCCTCTGCCTGGACCAGCCTCTAGGCTCCAGTACACAGCTAGGCTACCCACCACAAAGCAGGACACACACGATAGATAGATAGATAGATAGATAGATAGATAGATAGATAGATAGATAGATAGATAGATAGATAGATAGATAGATAGATAGACAGACAGACAGACAGACAATGTTCGCATATGAACTGGGTCAGAATGCTGAATTTTGAATGAAAGGCTCTTGTTCTTTACTCTAGCCTTGCCCCGTTTTTTTTAATTCCATGTTTTTTTTTTTTTTTTTTTTTTTGGTGATACAAAACCATGTGTATGGCTTTGATGGCCACATAGTAGGATTCTCTGTGTTTTTCAGGCCTAAAGGCCCAGCCAGAGGCCTATGTATGTATGATAAACGGCCTGAGTGTATTGAGCCTTGAGAAGCATCGGAAGAGGTATAAGCTTCCAAATGGTTTGTGTAGTGATCCACCCTGAGTCCTGCCCTGCCGACAGAGGAATAGAAATCTAGCACCTGATGCGATCCCTGCAGGCTCTTCAACACTTCCATGCTCAGCTCTCCCTAGGTCCTGTGGGGTGGGAGTGGGGGTCGAGGCACAGGTACACAGGCTGAGTAGGGCACACACTCCCACTTGTGCCAGCCTCTCCATGGAGGAACTGACCCAAACCAAAAACCAAGATGTCACAGAAACCTTCTGGGCCTCCTCGTGAGTCTGGAGGCTGGAGGAAACCTTAAAGCGCTTGCAGAGACACCCGAGCATCTTGACATCTGGTCTCCACTCTCCCCCTTCAAGCCTACTCAACTGTCCCTCCCCTGACCCCAACCTCACTTGGATTCCAGTACAATGGAGCAGAGATGGGGGAACTGGCTGTGTCACTGATAAAGGGATACAAGAGGGTTAGTCTCTTAGCAGGTACCAGGCAAACACATTAAAGATGTCAGGGACAACCCATCCATCTTAGAGGAGGAAGAGAAGCCCTGGCTTGTTTCAGGACTACATCCTGCACCACTGGCGGACAAATCCCGTCTATATATCAAACAAAAAGCTCTTAATCACTTATTACCTTTCTCTCACTCATAAACTGAGCTAGGAGAAATTGCCAAGATTTAGGCCTAAGCCTCCAAGTACAGCTGCAATTTGGATTTTTGTAGCTTCTCTTTTCCTGTTCTGATAAGTTTTATTCAGAGTGATTACTGCATTTTCAGGCTTTTTACAGTCTTATAAAATTCACAGAAAAATTGTTCTGCCATTTTCCACTGGAAGGTTACTCCGAGTCTAGCACCTGTTTGGAACAGTTTCCTTCAAAGGGTCAATACCGTAGACTGAAGAACTAACTTGTACACACACCCTGTTCTTCCTGACAGGGCACACAGCCCTGCATTCTCAATCTAGTGTGTGACTGCATCCCTTAAGAGAGAGCTGATGGCTCTGAGGTTAAGAATGCTTACTGCTCTTGCAGAGGACATGGGTTCAATTCCAAGCACCCACATCAGGTTGCTCGTAACTTCCTAGAACTCCAGTTCCAGGGTAACCGATGCCCTGTGCCTCCATGGTCACCAGGCATGTACATCGTATACATAAACATATGTAGGCAAACGTCCATACCATTAAAAAAATAAATAAAACTTAGAAAACAAAAATTATTCACAACGAGGCTGTGGAAAAACTGAACTCACTCTACAGCCTCCTGTGAAGCCACGCATTTCACAAACCCCAGATGCACCAGCGTAAAACAGCAAGGAAACAAGGCTGAATACGTGGAAATAATTGCTACTCAGAGAAGAAAAGCATGACATGACAAAGGCTCTCTGTTCCTGCTACTGCGAGGCCACAAAGTCACAGGGCACAGAGTCCACACAACAGCATCTGGCCATGTCATTTTAAGCTCTTTGGATGCAGGAAACCATTCAGGTCCAAACCCTTGGTCTGAAGCGGCATCTGCTGGCCACTGACTCACACGTGTGTGCCTTTGTGGATAACAAAGCTCACGCCAGGTGCACGGAGCCCTGAGATGAGTGACGACTTACTCGGAAGCAACGGACAACGTTCGTGGTTTTCACCTCTTCGCTTTTGTACCTGTAACTAGTGTGTCTCCGTATAACGCCTTGAACTCATTGAATCTGCTTCCATCCACAATTCTAGCAATGACCTAAGAGGAAAAGTAACAAGGCTACTGAGAAATTACATCACGAAAGCATGTCTGCACTGAAGTGATTTATAAGGAAGGCAATTCAAGTGATGTCACTTTCAATCCCATGCCACATAGAAAACCGCTTGAATTTCCCTTGACATGCATGGTTAGTGCCCCAAGTCACCCCCCACTGTGATACAGAATAAACTCCACAGTGAGACTGCACATAAGAGAACTGCAGAGAATCTGGAGGCTGGCAGCTAGGCCGAGAGCTCCAGGGGCCGGTTCAGTGCCTTGGCGGGGTTCAAAGGGCCCATGAAAACCCAGAGCGTAGCTAAGGGCTTGAAGCGCGGAATATTGGTTGGCTCCACATGTGACCAGACGTTCCAGGGTAAGTTAATTATTAAAAAAAAAAAAAACCTCCCATCTACTCAATGCCACCAAGTAGATGAAGAAGGGGTCTGACAGCTGGGAAAGAGACGAACTGGTGGAAAAGGGACCTGTGAAAATGATGCTGAGGCAAACAGGGGCTCTGACGCCAGCTCTACCACAAGGAGACTAATCACGAAACCTCATTACAGATGGTTGTGAGCCACCATGTGGTTGCCGGGAATTGAACTCAGGACCTTTGGAAGAGCAGGCAATGCTCTTAACCACTGAGCCATCTCTCCAGCCCGAGGATAACTTTTAAAGTCATAACTAAAGCACACCGTCTGATTAAAAAATAACTTATTACTATTAAGCCTCAATAGACATTTATTGATTCTTAATATGAGTCAGTGAAAGGACAAGCTACATATATTGTTCATCTGAAAGGAGCAGAAATTTCTAGAGAGTTTATCTTTGAGTCTCCACCACACAAATCTTTCAGTAGAGCTATGCTCAGCACGCTTGAGGCCCTGACTTCAACCCTAGTACCAAAATAGAAGACTCTTAGACACAAAGCCTACTCCACGCTTCCCCAGAACCCATGTGAGAGGGTGTGTATTACCCTCTAACACTCAAGCTTCCTTCGCTGAAAAATGAGGGGCTCATCCCAGCATCTCTCTCTCTGCAGACAGCAAAAACTTGCTTTAAATTACTTGTTAGTTATTTTCCTAAATATGGGACCAAAACAACTTTTGGTGCTGCAGATCTCTTCACGCAAACCTTTTGACAAGCAATCAACACATCACAGCCGTTCTTCTGGGTCACGGTGTAAAACCACCTCTGACTGGCTTTCTAATTAATACCACTCTTATCCATAAAGTACTTAATTACCTTCAAGAACTTAAGAACTCAAACATCAGGAGCAGACAATTAATAGGATAATATTCTCAATTCTAGCAGGAGAAACCAATATTCAGAAAGGTGAGGTCCCCCCTGCATCTGACTGAGAGAATAAGACCCAAAGCCCAGCTTTTGCAGCTCAGCATCCGGCATTACTGCAACTCCATGGGCTATTGAGGCCTCTCTGTGAGGCTTATTTACTATAGGGAAAATGGAAACAGACTAAATGGCTAGCAAGAAGCAGCAAAAGCTAGAAGATTCCATTAAAACACAATAAAAAGCACATGAGGCAGGGGTTGGTGTCTGTTCACTTCCGCACCTCTGGTGTTCGGAATCTGTACACAGGAAATGCTAAGTGAAGAAGTGGCTATTCTAAAAAGGTGGTTCTCAGCCATCTCGGCAGATTGTGAGTGCCATGCTTTTCTTTGTCTGCATTTAACTGGAAGCCGGGCTAAAAGCTAATTCTAAAGTCTGTAGCTGAGTCATGTCGCCAAAGTGAAGAACCAGTGGAATTTCTCTAGAATCGAAGATTTAACATAGTAACAAACTATTGCTTAACTATCTGTAGGCATCTCTACAGCACAACAACACCCTCAGCAATTCACGCAAAAGGAAAACAAAAACAATCTGCCTACCATGTTGCCAGACACCACTGTGAGAACCGGGAGTTAGCCATAGAGAAATGATTACTGGAGACTTTTTTTTTTTTTTTTTTTTTTTTTTGGTTTTTCGAGACAGGGTTTCTCTGTAGCTTTGGAGCCCGGTCCTGGAACTAGCTCTGTAGACCAGGCTGGCCTTGAACTCACAAAGATCTGCCTGCCTCTGCCTCCCGAGTGCTGGGATTAAAGGTATGCACCACCACTGCCCAGCTGAGACTTTTTTTTTTTAAGGATAAGGAATAATATATGTAATTTACACCAGAAAAAGTAGAATTTTAAAAGGATTATATACACAGGGGAAATTAAACATATGTGTACATATACATACACCAAAAATACATTATGTAGACTATATATAAATGTATATAGCTATGCCTCATCCATGAGGACTTGTTCCACGTCCCATACCCAAATCCAGAGATGCTGAAGTCCCTTGTACTGAATGCCTTACTATTTGCATATAACTTAGGTACATATTCCTGTAAACTCTGAGTCATCTCTAGATTACTTATACAAAGTAAAGAAGACAAATGTTTCACACGAACAGCCGTCGTACTATGCTGTTAGGGAATAATGACAAGAAGAAAAACATCTGTACGTGAGCAGTGCAGACAAAATACCCCTTTCAAGGGTTTCTGAGTTGTGGTTGGTGACGTCTGTGTACACAGAACCCCCAGATATAAAGAGCTAACTGTATAAACAGATCAAGACAAATATCAGAATATTGGCTGTTCTTTCTGAATGACAGAACAAGCAATTCTATTTTCTTTTCTGTGCTTGCTACCCCACTCCATAACCAATACCAAATCGTCTTATAGTCAAGGGGAAAGTACTTTAAGATATTAAATCTCTGGCATAGGATCTCATTAAGATGATTTCCTAAATTTAAAATTTATTCTGCCAGCTATGGAGACCTGAAGGAAATCAAAGCCTACACACTCTAAGCAAACACTGAAAACTGTCCCTCTGGATTACAGAAGGCTGTGTCACAACCTGTCACCATAGCAACGTCTCCAACTATAATCGTCTACTCTGCTAATGTCATACTGATCTAAAAAGGCATGTTTTTCTCTCCCAACAACTTACTGACATTTTGTCTATTTTGCAAAACAAGAACACTGAGGAAAAACAGTTGAAAATGGTGCGACTGCCCTCAATCATTCTCACGGCCCACGGTACCATCAAGTCTCATCCATGAACAAACCTAGCATCCTTGCGGTACAGTGAGAACTCCCCAGCCACAGAGAGTCCTTCCTCACTTGTATTTACTGCAGACCAGAGACCAGATACGACACCAAGACAGCACTCCTGGATAATATGGTTCCTTACTGAGACCCACACTTGTCCCTCTGCACGAACACAAACCCTAAGGGTGGCTGCTGGACTCACGGCTTGGACCCTGTTCCCCACATACCTCCCGGACATCAAAGCTTCTCTTAAGGTTCGCACCGACTATCCCGTACAATTCATCGGCTGGGAACAAAGGCTCCTCAGAAGGCTCGACGGTAACCTACAGACAGGACAAAGAGACTCTGTGTAAAGACAGTATTCGGGGGCACAGGCCGAAGCTCTCCACAGGGAGAGGAAAGACAGAAGGTTTACTACTCACGTCCAGTTTCTTCTGATAATTGAGACTCCTCACAACCTTCCTTGTTAGGTGGAGGGCATGGTGGTCATCCAGAGCGTAGTGGTCAGTGACGCCAGACTTCCTGCAGAGTGAAGCACACGCTGGTGAGCAAAGGCTGGGAACGGACGTAATTAAATACCCTAAGTACCCAATACCCCCAGTCTAAGAATGATTCGGCACCTTAGCTGCTTAAATACCTTCATTAACGCCATCTCACCTGATTTTCATAGTGTCCCTGGTGAAAGAGCATGAACCTTGTCTTACAAAGAGGGAAGTCAGAGATACAGAGCCTAAGCGCCCTGCCCTAGGACCAGCGATAGCTGCACTGGAGGTTCATGCCTCAGAGTTCTCACTCTGGCCTTCTACAACACTCCAGGGCTTGTTCACAGGACTACTGAGGCTCAGTCTGTGTCCCTTGAACAGAATTATATGTGACGCCCAACCACAGCTAGCTTGCTTTCACAGTGTAGTTACGTGACACAGTGGGAGGCCCGCTGAGCCTTTGGTGCAGGTGCCCACAGTGGTCTCTCCTCTCTGAGACCACATCACTGGCCACTAGGCTTTAGAGGACCACCATGGCCTCCACTTAACAAGGAAGGCTGTGAGACGTCTCAATTATCTCTCTCTGAGACTTCCTTCAAGTCAGACACAAGAGTCGGCTCCCTCTTCCAGTAAATAAAAAGGCTTGAATACACTAAGTGTGGGTGGGGGATCCCCAAAAGACAGTCACAGGCTGAAGAAATAGCTCAGTGCATAAAAGCGCTTGTCATGCGAGCATGAGGACCTAAGTTCAAATCTCCAGCACGCACATAAAATCAGGGCATACAATACAAACATCTGTGTTCCCGATGCTAAGAGACTCGGGGGCAGAGACAGGAGAACCCCTGGAAGCATATACCAGTCAGCCTGGCAGAGAAAGAGAAAAACAACAAAGGGACCCGTAAACACGTCAGAAGGCAAGGATCAACACTCAAAGTTGTTCTCTCGGCTCTACATATTCATCATTCACACGTGACCGCATTCACACACATACACGTGGGAAAATGCGCATTCAAAGGAGGGATAGAGACTTGTTAATAAAACACATTTAAAAATAGGTAAAGTCAAGCTAGGTGTGGTGGCACACACCTTAATGGCAGCACTCCAATGGCAGAGGCAGGCGGATCTCTGAGTCTGAGGTCAACCTGTTCTACTCAGTGAGTTCCAGGACAAGCCAGGGTTACATAATGGAGAGACCCTGTCTCAAAAAAAAAAAAAAAAAAAAAAAAGCCAAAAACAGTAGAGACAGACAGAAAATATATAATAGGAAAAAGCCCACAGAATTTTGGTTCATTTTATGCGTAAACCACTACAAGCTGTTTTGATGTCTTGTCTAGAGAATCTGTCCCACTTTCGGGAGTTGTTCTGGTGTCCTAAGTAAGAGCAGAGACAACGCTTACTCCTCCAGAGCACACGGCAGCCTTCAGCTCCTACACATATTTTACAACCCAAATTCGTTCACAATGCTTCACACATAATGGCAGCTGTAGCTACTGACTTCTAGCTGTACTGCGATTTGGTAGAAATGGAAGCAGCAGGAAGATTCTAATTTAGCCAAACTTTTAAAATGCAATGCTTTCCTATAAAAGATGCCTGAAATTTGCCCTAACAGGAAAGAGACATTTTGGTTGAGACACTACATAAATCGTTATTTAAAATTAACTCTTAATGATGACTAAGCAGGTGTAAATGTGCTTTTAAGATGGCAGAGAACTCACAGCAGTTTGTGACTAGCCTTGTGTTTCTTTTTAAAATGAGACAGGCGATTAATCCTCCTTAGCCTCCTAAATCCTGGGATTACAGGTGTGCCCAGCTTTAACACTGGTTTTGTGGATTTTATTTACTTGTTATTATTAGTGTGTGTGTGTGTGTGTATATGTGGTGCATGTGTGTGTGTATACACAAAAGCACTCATGCCAAGGCCCAAAAGCAGAGGCCAGAAAATAATTTTAACTTTTGGGAGTCTGTTCTTTCTCCACCATAATCCTAGGGCTTGAACTGAAGCTGTCAGGTTTGCAAGGCAAGCTCCACTTGCTGAGCCATCAAAAAGTAATGCTAATGGATATTTGATGATGAAGGTTCTATTCCAATCTTTACCTTACACACAAGCAGACGGGCCTCAAACAGGTTAGTCACCTTGTTTAAGTCACAAGAGTAGTCAGAGAGACAAACAGAAGCTAAATTCCAGGGTCCATACCTACCCTGACACTCGATAGACTGCCTACAGTTTCTTCCCTTTATGACTGCCAAAATTTTACAAAAATTAATGATCCCCAAATACTACCTTTCTCTCTTTCTCCTACCAACAAACAGAAATCCATTTTGTCGTATGCCCTAACTCACGCTTCTTCTTCCTTCGGCCAGGTCTCTCCAGGTAGGAGCATCACCAACCAAGCAGATCACCAGCCAGTCTCGTGCAATAGTCAGAAACTGGACAGAGGCTCTGCAGCACCACCCTGAGCTCCGAGAGCTAAGCTCCCTGAAGCACTCGAGTTTCTGCCCCAACTCAGGCAGCGCAGGTCTCTAAACACTGCTGACAACACCAATCCACCCTAGGATGTCTAAAACCATCTTTCTTTCAACCTTTAGCTAAGACTGGATGCATGTCTGCACACTTACTTTGTAAATGTTTAATTCGTTGATTTCTCTTAGCTGCTTAATTAAACGGTACATTCTTGAGGACAAGGACTAGTCTAAATTTTCTTATGTATCACTAATAACAATACAATCAATCAACCCTCAACAAGTCCTGAGTGAGGGAGGAATGAGGGAAAGACAGAGATGAAGGCTCCTTAAGCTAGCCAACAGGTATGGCAGGAAAGAACCCATCTTTTCTCTTGCCCCGGACTCCTCCCATAGTCTCAGGTCTCCTTGGGGTTATGAAGGCACAAAGCAGAGGACGTCCTGTGCCAGATGGTCAGGTCTACCTGCCCTTTAGAAGCCAGAGCTAGACCCTGTACAGACGACCTCTGTATGCATGCAGGGTAAGGTGAACTTTTCAGTTTGAATTAAGTGCCACCTCTATGCAGCTCCTTCCCACAAGCTTCTGACCCCTCACAGCCAACGGCCTGCTGAGCAAGCTCTCAAACACACCTAGCTTCTCAGGCCTACAAGAACGTTTGAGTCCTCTTGCTCCGGTTTCAGATCTCCTCCCCCCACTCCATTGTCTCAATGTCAGGTGATGAGTTCATTTTCTATCATCGTCTTCATCATCTCCTCTCCTGCATCCTTTACAGGTCACCTACCAAGTCCCTCAGTCGCACCCGGAAAATAAAACCATGCCTGGAGTACAGCAGGCATCCAAGCAAGGTTTGTGGAGTTAATGAGAAACTGCCTCTCAGGCTTCACTGAAAAGCCGAGGCACTGTGCTTGCTTTGACAACACGTATACTAAAAATGGAACAATACAGAGGAGATTAGCATGGCCTCTGCGCTCACACTGGGGCTGACAAGGTGGCTCAGAAGATAAGGATGCCTGCTGCTGAGCCTTAGCCCTTGGATCAATTTCCAGAGCCCACATGGCAGAGGGGGAGACTTGACTCTCACGGGCTGTCCTCTGACTACCATATGTACCCATGGCATGTACACAGAGCCACATACATGAGTGTATCCACATATGCAGGCGCACAAACACACACTAAGTTTTTCTTCCTTCCTTCCTTCCTTTTTTTTTTTTTAAAGCAGCTGACACTCTCACTTGAAACACTATTCTACAGTCCAGAGATCTAAACCCAGAACCGCAGAGTGGGAGCAAACAAAACTACGGCTTGATCTGGCAAGATAAGCACAAGGTAAAAAAAAAATAATGTAAAACTTCCTTTACACAAACAAAATGACCATTGATCCTGGAAGGGAAATATGGCTCCTGCCTTACCTGCAGTGAAGGTCAGCACCTCCAAGATCCTCAGCAGACACCTCCTCTCCAGTAGCTGCCTTCACCTACGAGGATAAAACCACGGTGAGACTAGTTCACTGAAGACAAGAACTGCGGTACTAACAAGCATATCGCCTAGCCTGACTTCACTGCATTCTTCCTTCCACAGAGCTGAAGATGACTGTCCTTTCTCATTCCACCTCCAGGCAAAGTGGGAGAATAGTATCCCAGTCTACAGATGGGAAATCTAAGTCCAGACTCACGAAGAGTTGCCCACAGCTCCTGGATAAACGATGCAACCTGGATGTCCACCCTGCTCTTCGTGATGCTACCCAACACACCTTAAAGCCTTGGAGTTGTGAGCACATCCCTGACTGCCTGGGATCCCTTCTTTCACCCACCAAATGAGCTCTCATTGGCCTGCAGGAGTCCTCACGGTGATGACACCCTAGGACATTAACCAAGCAATGCTGGCGGTGGTGGAAAAAAAAAAATGCCCCCCAAGGGGATTGGCACAATTAGGAGATGTGGCTTTGTTGGAGTAGGTAGAGCCTTGTGGAAGGAAGTGTTTCACTGTGGGGGCGGGCTTGAAGGTCTCCTATGCTCAAGCTTTGCTCAGAGTGACACTCAGACTATTTCCTGTTCTCTGCAAGTTGTGGCACTATCAGCTCCAGCACCATGTCTGCCTGCATGCTGCCAAGCTCCCCACCATGATGATAATAACTTAACCTCTGAACTGGAAGCAAGCCACCCAATTAAACATTTTCCTTTATAAGAGTTGTTGTGGTCATAGTCTCTCTTCATAACAATAGAAACCCTAACTCAGACACTGGCCTATCCGTGGTAAGAATTCCACTTCCATGTTTACATGCTACTCTCCAATCTGTATTTCAGCAATCTGTACATGTTTCTCTTATCAGCTCTATACTATGGGTTCCTCAAGGGTGAGGATGTGATTCGTTCATCTTCAAATATTCAATAACCAGGGCTATAAAATCCAGGTTTTTAAAAAATATTTATTTATTTATTATGTATGCAATATTCTGTCTATGTGTATGCCTGCAGGCCAGAAGAGGGCACCAGACCCCATTATAGATGGTTGTGAGCCACCATGTGGTTGCTGGGAATTGAACTCAGGACCTTTGAAATAGGAGGCAATGCTCTTAACCTCTGAGCCATCTCTCCAGCCCCAAAATCCAGTTATCTTAAGGTGTTAAAAAAAAACAAAAATCACTTGTAGAAGTTACTTAAATCTAAGGTTTAACAGGATGGAGCCAAAACAGAAAGAAAAATCAGACAACAAATCAAGAATGACTTAATTATAGCCCAAGAAGCTACAACAAGAAAATTAAAAAAAAAAATCCCTTAGGACTAAATGCCAACCTCATCTAACAGGAACTATTAGGTGAGTCCTATTTCACCGGGCTGACTAATCTGTTTCTGGAGATAGAAATAAAAAGAAGTGTTAAAATAACAAGAATTAATCTAAGATACCGTACAGCGATGGTTATTCCTCATTGTATCAAAACCTCTGCTTTAAATAAAATATCTTTCCACAGAAAGGCAATTAAAATTTTCACCTTCAATTATTCCACCCTCAGAAGTCAATTATTGGTTCTCTTTCCAAAAAAGAAAAAAAAAATCGGTGCTAAAGAGCTTTCACTCCAGACAATAGCTAATTATAAGAGGCGTCTGAATATTTAAAGTCATAAAGAAAGATAAACAACAGATATACTATATTTACTCTCAGAGATCTGACTAATTTCTGGGGGAGGGGGATATGGCTGTCATCAGTTAATATTTATTGAACACCCACAGCATGTTTGATGCCCTGACAGGTGCGAAGATGACCAAAGTCAGAAGAGTGAAAGGTAGCCATTGTAGCAAACAGCAAGTTAGGGTGGGAAAGGAGCCAGGAGAACAAAAAGTCCCTCAAACCTCCATTTGCTTCAGCCACACTAAGCTACTTGAACTAACAGCACCTGAATCTCCTTCTTCAAAGCCTTTTCTCAACTGCCTACAAACAAGGGTCAGGATACTGAATGCTCAGATCTATGAAGCTTCAGATTCTTCCTCCCTAAACAAAGTTGTCTCTCATGGACCACTTACAGAGGTCAGACCTGGAGGACTTCGGGCTGCTGGGTCAAGTTAAACCTGAATCCATGGGTCAACCTAGATGAATGCGTCTAAAACACCGGGTGTTATCCCAGCACTATGTGCCACGAATTCTCCCAATGGAACTTCTCAAATGTCACTTGTACCTTTACTTGTGGAAGTTTGTACTTTCACAGTGCACAGGTAAAAATGGAGCACATTTTCTGCGAGTAAGCTGATGAGAGCTTATCACAAACAGCATGAGAACACCAGCATCCTAAACAGCACTGGAGAGTTACCACTGTTAAAGCACAAGCTCCTTCTGGTCTACCTCATTTCCATAATTACTAGAAATTGCATGGGGAACATTTACTTTGCATGAGCTCTTACTAGTAACTGACACGCCTTGAGGTCCGCCATTTTAAGCCATACATTTCAGAGGTTTTTCTGGTAATCACAAAATTGTGCAGTCATTGTCATTCCAGAATATTCCATCACTCCCAGAGGCAACTCCCACTCAGCAGCAGCCATTCCCATTACTCTCCCTCCTAGATCCTGACAGCCACTATTCTACTTTCTATCGCCATGGATTTGGCTCCCTTAAATATTCTCAAACATGGAATCATATTTTTGTGTGTGCCTCACATGTTTCCCATCCATAATGTGAAGATTATGTCTGAATAAATGTTTTGTTGTTTCTGATCCTCCTGCCTCTACTTTCTAACTGTTATGAATACAGTGTGTACTGTGATATCCAGCTCAAAACACCTTCTAGAATAAGCTAGGGCATTCCAAAATTCTCAAAAAGTCAAAATTATTTCATGTTTCTTCCACTCTGCATTTATTCTGTCTTTTCCAAAATTTCATTATGTACATGGAGGCACACAAAAGCATATTTCTCAACATTTTACCCAAAATTAATACTATATATAACCTAGTATGGTCAAATTCTTAAGACTCAAGACTCAACAAAGAGAATGGTGGAACCAGACATGGCACATACCTTTAATACTAGCAGAGACAGGAGGATCTCTGTGAGTTCAAGGCCTGATTGATCTACATAGTGAATTCTAGGCCAGTCAGAGGTAAACAGTGTGTCCCTGTC